GGAGCGTGTGCGAGCGAGACGGGTGACGCACTATAGATGGTCGGGTAGGTGGGTGGGTGGTTGGTCGGTTGGTTGTAGCGAGTGGGTGTAGCGGGAGGAAGAGTGCCAGTGGCGGCCAACGCATTTGCTCAGCGGCGCGCATCAATTTCGAGTTCAATGTCAAACCACAAAAACGACAGCAGCGCTGTCGGCGTTGACGTCGCCGCTGACGCAGCCTGCCAAGACAAAGACATATCGAAGGGGGTGGGAGGGTGGTGGGCATTGGCATTTCAAAGAAAAGACATTTTTGGGCTTCCGTGTTGGAATATTTACAAAAAAAAAATATATTCAAAAATAAATTGTATTTTTTGGCTAAATATTACATGTAAGGTGTCGCTGTGGATTGTATCTTACAGATTGTGGCAAAAAGAGGGAGAGAGGGAGAGGCAGAATCAGAAGCAGAGGCACCAGCTGCGACGCTGACGTTAACATTGCCCGGAGGGCGTTAAACTTCACGGTCATGGCTTTTTCCTTCTTATACTCTCCCACTCGCCCCCCTCTTCCATCATCTTCTTCTTCTTCCCACCACTCTCTCTCTCTCTCTTGCTCCACCTCTCGTTCTCTTTCGCTCTGCTTGTGATTGATAGCCAGAAAGCAACGTGACGCATTGCTGACCGCTACGCACTCGCACTCTCCTAGAGTGGTTCTCCTCCGCCTCCGCCCACTTCCCACTCTGGCTCCCCCACTCCCTTAGCTAGCCTAGCCTAGCCCTATCTCCCTCCCGCACTTGCCGAAGAAGGCGAATGACCGATAAAAGCTAACCACGCGCCAATCATTGGACTGATAAACAGGCAGAACAGAAAAAAAAAACTCAAGAAAGGGAGAAGTAGGAAGGAGAAAGAAGGAGGAGAAATGGGGGTGCTGCTGGGGTGCGGTAAGTAGGCCTAAAAAGAAGCAGACATGCCAAGTATTGTTGCCTAGAGAGATTAAACCGAAAAATATTAAGTACTTGAGTGATCTGCAATAGAATTTAGACTAAAATGGTATTAAAAAAAAAAAACTAAACTCAATTTCAGCCATTAAGTAGGCAACAAAAATATAAACTTCCAGTTCCACTCTCTTTGAAAGTTTCTAGCCAAGTAACGGGGGTCTATAGCCTCTCTTACTATCCTAGCTCTTTAATTAAAAGCCCAAAACTATTTCAAAAACTCTTAATCTCTAATTTAATATTTTTAATATTTTATACATGATGTTTATGTATTTATATGTATGTGTATATGTATTATAGACTGCATTGAGATACATGATGGTGCACTGGATTGGGTTGCAGTTACATAGTTTGCCTTGTCTGGAGGGAGGGGAGGGGAGGAAAAGCAGGGCTGACCGACCGGTCGAGCATTCAACCCTAACCTCAGACAATGTTGAACTATGCACCAATACACTCGCACACACACACAGACACTCGCACACACAGACAGAGTGCATCAACAGCAGAAGTAGCAGCCCTACATTTGCTTTCGCTAAAAAAAAAAACAAATAAAATAGCAAAATTCTAAATGGAAATACAAAGGAGGTAAACACTACACAGAAAGAATATATTATTTTATAAATTATTTAAAAGAAATTAAAAAAAAAGAAGCCTTATTTTTAGATTCACACATTTTTTATAATAAAATATTTAAATTTTATATTATTTATGATGTTATCTTTTAAATCTTTTATCCCTATAATCCCTCATAATTATTTCTTATATCATAATCCCAATAAATAAAAGAAACCTATTCCCGTGTAAGAACAACAAAAACCAAAAAAAAGGTGGTTGGCAACCCTTGTTGGGGGGGTGGGGAAAAGGTAGAGGTGCAAAAAAGGAAGCGGCAATCGGGAATGCCCTGTTGCCACATTACGTCACGAAAGAACGAGAGAGAGAGCAAGCGAGCGAACAAGAGGAGCCAAGCGAAAGGCCAACGACCAGCACACATTTCGAGCCGCATCCAAGGGTTGGGGGCAGGAGGGTGGCAGAGAACGGCTGGCAGCCAAGAAGGATACGGAACAGGAGCAGCATAGGCGACCCTCGTCAACAGACAAGGGCCAGCCCTAGAGCGGGAATGAACAGGAGCGAGGGTGAGAGCGAGATAGGTAGCGAGTTCAACAACCTTCGGCGACCCTGAGAAGAGGTCAGCAACCCTACAGCTAAAGTTGTACAAGTGTGCGAGTATGTGTGTGTGTGTGCTGTAGGACCTGAAGAGCAGGCAGCCTGCGCTCTCTCTCTCTCTTTTACTTTCTGTTACTCTCTTTGGCAAACACGGAAGGGAAGTTTAACATTAGGGTGGTGCTTATATTAGAAATTATTATAATAATATTAAAATTTTAAAATAATACTTTTTATCACATATTTTATTTTATAGTTTTTATTTTAAATGCATTTATTTTTATATTTTTTTTTTATAATAATTGAGGACTACCCTAATAAAGCTAAAGAGAGCGAATACCTCTGGGGGTAGGCAAACTTTGAATGCGTTTGTTTTTTGCCGGTCGTTGCCCGAGAACGTCAACGTCTACGTCCGCCGTCCGCCGTCCGCGTCCGCCGTCACCGTCAGCTGTAGTAGCTGCGTCGCCGTCAGCGCAGCCCCAACTTTGGGGTCGTTGGTGGTCGTTATCCTATATACCGAGAAAAATCTATTTTTATTTGCATGCGCCCGGTTTGCGCCTGTCTTTGGCTTTTGCTTCTATTGGCTTTCCCCCTCCCCATAGACGTGGGGATGGATGGAGTAGTTGGTGGTGTAGGGGCGATGGTAGACTGGGCGTTGGGGGTATTGACATGGCACACAGGATGAACCTGCCCTCGGCCAACTGTTGTTGGGCGGTTTTAATTAGCCGGGCTTACAACAACATGACTTTTTAAGCGGCCAACACATAAGAGAATGCATTAAAGTTGCGACTCTGAGGAATTTTTTGAAAAATGAATTAAAGGTATTATTTTTAGTAATTGTTGGGGTAACTTTAAGGTAAAGAATGTATCTATAAGATTTATGGCTATTTTATCTATAATTTTAATGAAACTGGGGATTTAAATTAGTTTAGTTTTGTTCTATAAAATGTAATTACTATACTTGTTAAACACAAGTGATATTTATATTATATATATACTGACATTTATTAAATGTATCTATTATTAAAAAAAACTATAAAAAGTTTCAAAGCTAGTAATACTATCTTTAAAAATTTCTAAAGATACTAAACATGACAATAAGATAAATTAAAATAATATTTAAAACAAAAAAATAAAACAAAAATAGATAGAAATAAAAGAAAATAGAATAGAACCCGTACTTTAATTATAGATATTAATTGAAATTAGATATGTATTTAGGTATTTAAATATAGTTAATAAAATAATAACCCTATAAGTTTCCTAACTTTTTTTCTTGAATCCTAGCTTAGCTTAGGACCTAACTTTATAGGAGCTACTTCCACTTCACTAGATTTAAGCTTTAATCATATAATATTTATAAACTTGCTCCCCCCTTAAACACTTTAAACGTGAGGTAGGTTCTGTTTTCTGTTCCACAAATTGTTGCAAATTGAAAAGTATCTTGTAACTGAATCTGCAATGCAGCTGCTGCTGCCCCCTTTTAGCTGGAAATCTGCTAATCTGTCTTGGCCCCCCCTCTCTCTATCTCTCTCTCTCTCTCTATCCTTCTCTATCTACCTAATATTCTTTTTAATTTTTTTTTTTTTTTGTTTTTCTTTCCGTCTGCGATCGCCAGACTTTGCAGTTAATTTTTGTTGTTTTGTTTTTGTTTTTATTTTGCTACTTCTTGCTACTGCTTCTTCTTTTTCCTATTGGTGGACCCTCCACCCTCCTCCTCCCCTCTGCATTGCGTTACATATTCTTCCGCATTTTTGCAGTTGCAACGAAGAGAGCGAGAGAGTTGGGGGCCCAGAGATGGTAGAAAGAGAGCGATAGAAAGCAATGACCCGTGTGGTGGGGGGAGAAAAAAAAAATATATATATAAGGGGCAACATAGTGGGGCGGGGTCGTTGCCTCAAGAGTGGGCGGAAGGATGTACAAGTAGGCGGTGGTGCAACTACAATAACAAAAATAACAGCAACAAACTATGACATTCCATGACTAGCGAAAACCAAACACAAACACCAAGAACAACAAATAAAACCAAAAGCAAAAACAAAAACAAAAACAAACGCAACATAATCAAATCTAGGAAGAGGAAGAAGCGGTGTCCATGAAACGTACTTTGTTGACCTTTCGCTGCCACAGCGCTGTTGGCAGCGCTGCTTTCTGCTTCTGCCTCTGCTGTTGCACATTGCCGCGTCGGGGTTATTGAAACAGTTTGACACACAAAATGCAGGCGAAAGAGAGTCGCAATCAGCCAAAGAGTGCAACTAAAGAGAACCGAAAAGAGTGGCTCTCTCTCTTGTAAGAGTAATAACCTAAGAGAGCATGTACTCTTAAGCAAGCGCCATCTATGCTCTTAAAAAGGTACCAAGCATTTAACTATAAAGTAGCGCCATCTGTGTGTAGCTTTTTTAGGAAAAGAAATAGCAGGGCTTAGTCAAGACGCAAACCTAAGCTACCACAATAGTATATTAATTTTTAAATTAAAATTAAAATTTGAAATATAATTAATCGAATTTTATTGTTTTCCATTACAGCCACCAACAATTTGTGCATTTAAAAGGTCAAAGTGTCAATAAAAATATTGACAGCTTTGTTTCAGACATTTTCAATCGATCGGATATAGCTGACAGAAGATCGACTATAAACCCAACAGCAAATAAAAAAGTTCGAACTAAAGACCGATTCAAGATTGGCAGCAACAATAGCAAGAAAACCAAGGGGTAAGTTTTCAAAAAAAAAAAAGATATATCTACTCCCTTTTTTAAGGGGATTTCAGTTGGCTTAGTGAGTGGAGAAAGCTTTAAGCTAAGAAAACCACCAGGATGGCGGGTAAATATTTTCAATTTAAAAAATTTTTCAAAAGATCTACTCACTTTGGGCTTAGTTCTGGAAATTGGGCTTATCTGGTTTTTGAACTTTATATTTAATTAAACATTTGTTTCATTTTTAGCAGCAGAATTGTGAATAAGCTCCTGGAGACTATCATAAAGGTTCTTAGTCTTGTCGCTGACGAAATAATACTTTGAAACCTTTTTACGTTCCTAAATGGTTAAATATAAAGAATTAAATAATTTGATATAATTTTTAATATGAGACTTACCTTATCCATGTGCATTATTTTTCTCGGATCTCGTCCTTCTAATCTACAATAAACTTTGTACGCATTTATCATTCCCAAGAATCCCTGGGCCATAGTTAGAATTATTTCTGATATGAAAATCAGTTGTGCACAGATCGTAACTAATATAATAAATCTCAAGTAGTTGTACTTTTCTAAAGTACTCAAAACCATATAGGAATATGCCAATTCATGGTCGGTTACGTATCGCAAGACGTTCTTAATTAGTTTCCAAAAGTATGGAATGATGCCAATAAAATAGCAATTTATGTTGATCGGAGCGATCATAAATGATCCTCTCGAGTTGGGTACCCTTATCCCATTAGCACCCGGCGAAACCATTTTCATTATCGAAACCATCGGTAGGATCGAATTTAAAATTGATCTTATTAGGATGTGATAGAAGTTTGATTCCCATTCGAGGGTAATGACACGGCGCTTTATAAAGTTAAACCGGGACGTCTGCTTCCACTTGACTGGAGAATCGAAAATAGGACCCAGCTCCATGGATACGGGGAGCCATACAAGAGACAGGAATATAAGTATCTTGAAAACCATAGACAGTTTCTTCTGACGGTTTGTTACACTGTTTAAACTATCCGCAACAGTTGGTACCATAAAGTTCATCACATTGCCATGAAGATTAGCGAGAGCGAGAGGATTCATGTTCGATACCAAGGGGTTGGAATTCAAATTCATCAATATGTCAATATTTGGCACGGCCTTTTCATCGATCTGTTCATCATCGTTTATAGTTTCATTCTCCGAATGTTGAGATTCATTTGAATCCCCTTTTAGTGTTACATCGTCGTCGAATGGTTCATTGGCATTAGAGCGTTCATCCTCTGATTGGGTTTTTCCTTGACCTTGGGGTCTATATCTAAGGCGAGATTCATCCCTAGGTGATTTTTCATCTTCATAGAGTTGACTATATTTCCCTTTGTTCTCACTCATTTTGGCTAATAAATAGTAGCTATTAATAGGTAGTAGTAGCTTGCAACTATATAGTAGTACCTCCTTCTAGGCAGTTCTCCTGATAATTCCTGGGGGGGCGTTGAAAATCTATGCCAACGTTCGTTGAACAAAGCAAATATCCACTGGAAAAATAAATTCAAATGTCAAACCACAAAGAATAGAAGCTAAAATCCCAGCCTACTTGGTTCCTATTCAACACTATAAAAAAAAAAAAAATACCCCTACAAATAATAAACTTTACAACACTATTGACATGAAAAACTTTTCTCGCCGTGATGACTTTGCACATAAATATGCAATGCCAGGAGGCGAGACGCCCCAAAGGACCTGGTACTGGGTCCCAACCCATGCCACCGAAGCGCTGGGTGCACTCTTCTTCAAGCACACTCCAAAGTCCGTGACTTCGTGGCAGGGGTGGTGGCGGCGACGTCATCTCGTCCCCGGCCCCAGCCCCGGCGCAGTCAACTTTTATGTAAGGCCAAACCGAAACCACGTTCCTGCCAACCATTGAGGCAGGAAGGGCTGTTCGGATGTCCTTCAGTCTGCGAGTGCAACGAACGCTGCCCTTTAACCTACATAGCACACCACTGCACTCACCTGGGGGTTTATAGACTGCTGGCTTGCTATTGATATTATTATTATTATTTCACTAATAATAAAAACTAAACTTTTTTTTTTTCAAAATTATTTTCAGAAATTTTTTTTAGAACTTATAATTTCAGAGTTTTTTTTTGATGAAAAAATATTATTCGCTGGAGCTCCGATCTGATCAAGTTTCAGAATAGAAGTGAGGAGATTTTAGGGCACTGACACTAACAGTCCAAAAAGGAGTTGGCAGGGCTAACTTGATCATGTTCAAAAATGTTTTTCAAATTCAATATCCCATCCCTACTTTTTTTTTATTCTTTTTTGGTATTTGATTTTATGGTAAAAACTGTCTAGAAATTATCAGATATAAATAATACTTCTTTAAAATCTTCTAATAATCCTTATTTTATAAAACTCTATAATTTAGAACCCATTTCCTCAAAAAATCGTAACGTGTAATAAAGGGAGAAATGCACTAAAAATTACAGACACACACACACACACACTCAAGAGCGCGTGTTAATGTATGGGTATCTGCATGCGCTTATTACGCCATCGAAAAAAAAAACCAACAACAACAACAAAAGCAGAAGCAATAACAACAACAACTGCAGCAACGTCGCCGACTGAAATATCTTCATGTTCATCGTCGCGTCGCTGTTGCTGTCGCTGACGCCGTTGCTGTTGCCGCTGCCGCTGCCGTCGCCATATTGCATTTAGAGATGGGGAGGTGGTTTTGGGGCTTATAGAGTTTGGTGGGTTTGGAGGGGGTGTGTGATAGTTGGCTTCTATTTACATTTCCAAGCTCCAAAAGGCAGCCGCGCAATGCCTGCAGCAACGCCGGCAGCGACGTCGACGCGCGCAGACGAAAGCGAAAGGCCATTGTCCGGAATTTTGTTGACCCACTAAGGCAGAATGTAAAGTACGAGAGGCATGGCGGCGATAACGACAGCGATGGTGGCGGCATTGGTGGCGGTGGCGGCGGCGGCGGCAGTGGGCGGTGGGAGACGATGGCGGCAGCAGCAGCAGCAGCTACACTGTCATTGCCGTCGAAGAGAGCGGAAAAGCTTTCGTGGAGAGCATCCAACTGAGAGCTTTTCAGCTAGCTGTTGTTGTTTTTATTGCTAGTTCTGTCTGCGGTTCTGCTTTTGAAAGTTCAATTTTTTTTTTGTAGGCAGTCATAACAATACAATAGCAACAAAAATGGCAGATCTAATGCCCTGCATTTGCTCTAGAGAGAGGAAGAGAGAGCCAGAGAGAGAGAGAGTGAGCTCTATTAGCTGACTGCGCAACTTGAAGTCATTCACCTTTCGTGTCCGAGCGTTCTGCTCTATGTCTCATTTTTAAAGCTCGGCTTAAAAGTCACATCTCTCTCTCTCTCTATCTCTCTCTGCGCCGAAGACTTGACGCCTACACTAGGAAAGCTATAGGTTAGAGTAGAAACGAATTTTGAATACCCTTCGCATTGGGGCTATTGAAACTTAAGACTAGAAATGGATAAAAATAGAAAGACCCTTTAGAAAGGGTATATAACAAAAAAATATGGGGGAAGGGAAACAATAGAAAACGTAGCCAACCCGTCAAACTTTTTTTGATGAGCAATAAAATGTATTGATGTGCGAATGACTGACTGTCTGTCTCTGTCCCTGTCTTTGAGTGCGTGTGTGTGCTTGTTAGGTTTGTGTTTTTTTTTGTTTTTTTCATTTTTGTTTTTACTTTCTCTTGGCAAATAGAAAATGAATTACATGAAAGGCAATTAGAAGAGCTGCCAGCTGCTATTAACAGTTACCTTTTTTAACCTCAAACAGATGTTTATCTAAAATTTAGTACTCATACGCACTGTTGTCCCTAAAATGATAGAAGAGATCCTAAAAGATCTTAAGGGTACATTGTAACTCTTTTTATAGAGCTTCCAGTTTAAAATCGATATCTTTGAAGTACCTACATAGTTTTTATTACTCATACGCAGTGGTGTCTAATAGACCAGCTTTTTATTAGGATGATCTGTTTCTGGTTTCTAAATAGTAAATTTTAATGGATATATGTATCTATTACTGAAAAGAAACAGTTGTCATTGAAGCGATTATTAATAACTATAGACCCTGTCATTAGAAAGTTTACTCATGTACCTGTTTTTCTTCCCAAAAGGAAGTAACTACAAGAAAGTCCTTAAGTTGGGAATATTATAATGCAGTCCTTATATGTACATACATACATGTGTGTGCATAATGCACTTGTATGTGTGTGTGTGTGCGTGTGTGCTTTTGCATTCAAAGCGGTTCACTTTTGCATATTCATGCATAGTTATAGTTGCGTGTGAATGATTCATGAGTTGCATTTAGGCAAACAAACTGCTTCTCTCTTCCGCCCACTTTTCCCCTTCATACCACCCGCTCTCTCTCTCTCTCTCTGTCTCTCTCTCTTTCTGGCTTTTTGTTGGTAATGCTCTGTTGCACAGAAAGTTCAATTTACAAGCCCCCGCTTAACCCTTCTCATGTCTGAGGTAACTTTGGCGAGCTTTAACCCAGTTTAAGGTCATTTCGAGTCAAAGACAAACAGCACTAAAGCGGGAAAGCACGAGAGTGTGTAAAAGAGAGAGAGAGATGCATGTGTGTGTGTGTGCGTGGTCATCGTTTGGCATTTGTCAAGGACTTTACAAATAACGGAATTACAAGTCCACAGAATCAAATACGAAAGCAAAACAAAACAAAAGGAGACTTAACTTCAAATATAATCGTTATTTTGTTATAAAATTAAAAGAAATTTGTTAATTTCTTAACTTAAAAATAAGGTCAGAATAAAAACAGTCTTGACATTGCAGAAGAACCCCTGTTTTCCCCTCACACCGCTGCCGCTCTTATCGGTCCGTCCCCACAAGCTTCTCTTATCGACACCATTTTGTTTTTGTATTTTTTCGACATGCGACGCCGACAGCGACGCCAGCGTCTGTGATAATGAAATTGAAAATTTCATTGCTAATTGCGCTTAATATTTATAATTGACCTAAATACTACATTTTTGCGATTGGCATTGCCAAAACGGACAAAAACAACAAAAGAAGAAAGCAGCAAAACATGCAAAGTGAGGAGCGAAAGAGAGAGGGATAGTCCAGTAAGCAAAGCACGACTTGTGTGTGTCTGCTTGGTGGGAAAGGGACGAAAAAGGACGTGCAAGGGGGTGGTGGGGGTAAAGAAGTCTAGACTGGCAGGCAGGCGGAAAATCCAATAAAAACCGTTGCAAAAATGGGGGAGCTGCCCAAAAAAAAAGAAAATGCCAGTGTGGCAATGACATTTAATAGGAAATTATAAGGAAAAATAAATAATTTCTTCTACTTCTCTTCAATCTTTTATTTTTATGATTATTTTTCTAAAAGTATGCTTTTACTCTCTCCTTTCTTCAAAAAAAAAAACATGAAATCGAACTGCAACTGCAAAAAACAAAGTGTTCTAAATATACTCTCTCACACACATACACACACATATACAATTGCATTATGACTCAAATGATTATTCACATACGTAATATGAGAGCTATAACCCCGTCTTTCTTGCACCTACTCGTTCTTATGCCCAGACTGTTAATAGTCCTGCATCTCGCTCACTGAATTATTTAAAATGCAAACTTTTCTCCACCGCTCTCGGATAGCTCCTCCTCTCTCCGCCCCCTGGGGGAAAACCAAATCAAAAACGAAACATAAAAAAAAAACTACAAAAAAATGCTGAGCACCAAAAGAAGAAGAAGACGTAGAAGAAGCACACACAAAAAAGTAGGTGAAAGGTCTTCAACCTTTTTGCATGAAAAACAAAAATTGTTCAAAGGGGCAAACGAATTGGCGTGGAAGGGGGGGTGGCAGGCATGCAATTCTAGCTGCACACAAAAAAAAAAAAATATACATATAATGCCTAAAATAAAAAAAAAAAACGAGAGGAAAAAAAATCTGCCAGCAAGGCAATAAAATGTAAAACAAAAGTGAAAGAGTCAGCGGAGCCCAAGGAGGCGGGTCGAGGTGGGGCGATGAAAATGAGCTGAAAAGGCAACTCTACACTGGAAGAAATTGTTCCAAACCAAGAAAAGAAAAGAACATGATTAAAATATTCTTATTATTTGCTTTATATTAATTTTAAAATTTTATTTTTATTTTTTATTAAAAATTTTGAGACAAAAAGGGATTACCAGATGGGATGGGAGTATTTTGGGCAAGTGACCGACACATCGAGCCACTGCATTTAACTATTTTTAGACGTCCCAGTCGAGAACTTTGCAGCGCACACACACATACACACACAAACATGGATACATGGTAGTACAAATACAGATGCAACGCCTGGACTTGGACCTATCCCAATGGCCCAGCACTGTGGGGCAGGTTCAGTTTCGCCTCGTCTCGCCATTGCCTCCTATCCCGCTACCCCTCTTCTACCGCCCTTGGTGTTT